CATTGCAGTCTCACTATCTTCTCTGTGTACTAGCCACTAACCTGACACCGTGTATAACCTTGATCTGACTTGTCAATTTTCCTACCCCACACTCTACAAATCTATTATGACTAATCTCCACCATTGTCTCTCATTTTACAATATTTTATAGTTGATTTCAGCCTGGCACACTTGTCACACGAATACTACTATTTATTTTGACACCCCATAACTAATCTGTTATTCTGCGTTAAAAATATATCCGCTGCATAACTGGCGATTATTGTAACGACAACAAGTATTATATATAATTGTAGGAAACTGAAGAGAAATTACTGAAAACAATATTCTTAATTCATATTGGCTTTTAATTCATGATATGGGAATATCTCACACACTATTAAATTAAGGTTCTCTGAACCTTGATTTATAAAGCGAATAGAACTCTACACTCACACGATGAACGGGACCTATCAAGTTTGTAAGTGAGAAATGCAGGCCAAAAGTAACACCCTTAAAATCCTTTGATACAATGGAGTAAACTATATGCAAACTGTTGATATTCGTACAGTTGCCACACCAAATGATAACTTCAAAAGAATATAATGCAAGACTGGAATCTGTGTATACACAAATAAAAGTTGGATTGAAAAATAAACTAAGATTAGACTATAAGTGAGAAATGATTGCAAGAAGGATTACTTACAATCCATGAAAACAATTTCAAAAAATCAATCACATTAGAACAATGATATTAACTGGTATAGCTGTTTTAAGGCTATGCTTCGACTAACATGTGATGAATGTACTGAACTTAACATGTTATTTGGAGTAAAATTTAAGAATCTTAGGTGACACAAGTGGAATGTATGATGCTTATTGATAAGATTGCACTGATAATGTCTAGCGTGACACTCAAAAGTTTGTCAATCAAATCTAGTTCTAAGACCATAACATAGTTTGACTAGAAGTCTATAAAGTAAGTAACTAATAATCCATCAATAGTAAAAGAAAGTAGTCAAGTATTCTTAAGGTAGAAAATTAGTGGTTAAATGCTTATACTCGGTCGGTTTCCGACATAGAACTTTGCAGATATGTGCGGCAGTTCAAGTCGCCACACTCCATGTAGCACACAAAGCAAGAGAAGAAAGTAGGAGAAATGCATAACAATATAGACAGTAAAGAGAGGTGTGAGACAAAGGAATAGTAATAACGAGGAACAAAACAGTTTCATTGGAAATCATGAGTCACAAGGAGTGGATGCATCTGCGCCACTGAGAACGATTTTGAGCCATGTCACCAATTGTTCCCAACCATTTGCTTTTACCGTCCCGAGGACCCCAACCAGGAAGTCTACACCTTCCTACGTGGCTTAGATTAACTGTTGTAGATTTCATTGACTGGTGCCATGTTTTCGTCTGATCGCCGCCAGCTCTTTTCCAGCCTGGCCCTATATCAGCTAACATTACCCGTCGAGGAAGGCGATGACTAGGCATACTTATACTAAGTAAATATCTTACTTCCGCCTAAATCATTTACTTTTCCTATGTAGATAAAATGTGTGACAGACTAAATAAGACAATGCCAGAAAAACGAGTAAGAAAGACTTTCTGACTTTTTATCTACAATGATATTTTCGTTGATATAACAAGCTAAAGTCACATAAAGCAGCAGATAAACAAGTAAAATGCATCCGATTTCGGTTTGTTAGATATTAAAATTGGTGACAGTCTCTGAAAATGGTTAAGAAACACCTACTTTTCTCAGAAGTCAACGTACACCAGAATACAAGACAAAACAATATCCTATAAACTACTGATAGTCTGAATTTGTTTGCACCACTGGAATATTTACAATACATAAAAATTATGGGAAGATGATATGTAAGACAGGTTAAAAGCGACAAAAGTGGTATTCTGTGGGTTTCAAATGTTTTATAAGGCTGAATATGTTTACGCATACATTTCTTTTATAAACGTATACCTAGCGGATTCACATAATCTGTTTATGAAACACTCAAAATTTAGTGATTTTAATAGGTATATCTTGAAAGAAATCCAATTTTTGCAAGAAAAAAGAGCACTTACTTATAATTACTCACAGAGATGATCCGACACACTAATTAACATACAAGCGCCTCAACTGATGTCACACTTTACCACACCATAAAAATGATGCAGAGATATACAGAATAAAACAATAGTGAACAAATATGGGTGAGAAGGAAAAACATTTCAATGAAGGTCGTTGAAAACAACAAATTTAGCGAATAAGGAGTGAATACGAGTGAACCAGTGTGAATGATTTCGAGTCATTTTAACGAGAGTCTGCAAATATCACAGGATGAATAAAATTATTATTTTATATGGTTATAATACCATTCCTATTATGCACATCACCAGTCTGAGTCTAGAAGGGTCTTCTAATGTGCAAACATGCGTGGTTATTTTTCAGAAACTGAAAATTCCTTGCTGACTGACTTTGTAACTAATACCCATATGGTATAACCATTCCAACCACTCAGTTGACTTTCATGAACACTGCGACATATATCTTTTTCATGTCTAATAACGGAGCATATTTTACTATACTACTACAACAGCCTTTAAAAGAACAAGCTTGCAGCATCATAACTAAAGTTAACGGTTATACATGCACATACTGAAAGTGTATCAGTAAGCATTACTGCTTCTTATGAATAATCAAATCACTCAGTCAAGCTTGTGAATAGATTGAACTGGTATCTGACTGACTGGTCTCAACGCAGAACTTTTCACAGAAGTGCAGCAGTTCGAGTTGACACACCACATGTAGCACGTAAAGAAAAACAAAGGAGAGAAAAAGAAGTTCTACAGAACAATAATTAGCGGAAATTTGAGGGAGAAACAATGGCAAGATGGAAAAATAATACAGTTTATTGGACAGGGTAGATCAAAAATAGTGAATGCATCTGCAGCATCGAGAACGATTTCGACCCATATCACTGATTGTCTCCAGCCATCCATTCTTATCATTCCGAGGACCCAAACTAGACAGTCTAGACCTTCCTAAGTGGTTCAAACTAATTGTCAGAGATTTCATGGACTGATTTTAGGTTTTGATTTGACCACCCACAACACTTTTCCAAAATGATCCTATGTTAGCTAACATTGCCCATCGAGGAAGGCGATGGCTAGGCATGCGTAAAATGCTGCAGCCATCTCAGTCTATGTAGATTTACAATCTCATTGACTAACTTTCCCTCCTATTCTAACACTCGACGCCTAACTTCAGTATTACTCACCATATTATACCACTTAACACGGGAGATAGAACACAGACGCCTATGATCAAATACACCTCACCTTTTCATATCTTCCACTTTCAGTGGATATGTCTCACAGCCATAAAGGAGGATGCAGCGAACTGCTGTGCAGTACACATGTCTTTTAATCAATAGCCATATTTCACGTTTGTGGCAGAGATGACGTAAGTCGGCAAATGCCACACTAGCCTTTTTTGTCCACGTTAAGATTTCATCAGTAATCAGCCTGTTGAAACTCCCCAGATGAGAGAACTGCTCAACAAACTCTCTCAATGCAATCCAATCTTTTTGCTAGGAGTCGATGTAGTCCAGTCACACAGTATCAGCTCGCATTTGACACGAGCAAATCGGATGCTAAACATCCGAAGATTGCTGCCAAAAGAGTTCAGAAAACCCTACACTTTACCAGTTTCTACATAGGAAGACACTAAACTGATGTAGAGGATATAATGTGTCTTATTTCTAATATGTTTGGACGATTGATAGTCCAGTTTGCACAGTTATTTTTGAATAAAATAATTGTGCGAGTTCAAAAGGCTTGTAAAACTGAGCAACCAGTTTGCGCAATTAAAAGGCTTATAATAGACAATATCCACTTAAAGTTGAGGTAGGGAAAATACTTAAAAGTTTCAGTCTTTTGCAATCTCCTATAGAAAGTTTCTTCCGAAGTGATATGTGTAGGAAATAAGGTTAGACTTAAACTTGAAAGCTACCTGAATTATTCATTCAAACTTGACTACCAACTTACACAAAGGAAGTAAATGTCGGCGAGAACCAAGCCGACAAATAAAAGATGTCACTACATCATTAGTATATAGGTTTAAGAAACATGCAAGGATAAACAATATAAAAGAATGAAACAGGAAAAACAAGAGATGTTGAAATGTCAAAGCATATGCATAATGAAAATAACCAACGACTTCCAAATCAGAAGACTCCTATTAGAAATCCCAGAAATTTCTAACAGCTCGGAATAATATGCAGTAAATTCATAAAAACGCCACCAACGTAAATAGCACAAATTATTACTATTCAAAATTTGACGAACGGTTACATGCATAAAAATTAGATCTGAGCAAAATGAAGTAAAATTTTCATCATAAACCTATCAGACAGCATTCACACAGAAAGACACACACACGCATATATATTTGCGATTGTACAGCTAAGAAGATGAATTCGCCGATCTACGTGTTTTGTTTTCATTAAAATATTGAGTACGAAAACTGACTGATGATTAGTATAACGATCCACAGTGGACTGTCATTAACTAAAAACTGAAATTTGGTGATGTGCAGTAAAAAAGGTTCCCAAAAATATTTGGGATTTTATGTATTACCAATGGACAGTATACGCAAGTGGAATATTCTGGTTGACCTAAATGCATATGTGCATTCCCATAATACCGAGATTATGATAACGTGTTGTGTACAGTATTATACCCATGGTTCCACATCTGCAGGAACGTCTTCACCATGCGATCAAAGTTTTTGTACTTACTCGCAAAAGAAACGCTTAATTTTTACTCACACCAGGGATATACTTATTAACGATACTGTTAACATTTATGTTCAGCTGTGTGAACCCAAAAATTTTATGATACAGAATAATGTGAGTGACGAAGGGAAAATGTGGCTTAAGAAAAGCCCGTTACAGAAAAATTACCAAAGTGTTATGGTATAACAGTTATATTATTTACCAAGGTAGTCAAACTCACCGCCGGGTAAACAAAAATCTGAAATGACGGCAAGGTTTCTAACACCTTCAACCCTGCAATTGAGACATGTAAACAAATCCAACATATTTGATATTGTATGTGTGGATGCAGAATAACTTCGATATTGTATTGATCCAGAATTCCCACAAATGAGTCAATAGGTGTTAACTATGAATGACCTTTTGGGGAATTCCACTGATTTCCAGATAAGGAACCATTGGTAAGGGAAATCATAACTATGTAGCTTATGGAATTCTTTCAAATGACTAAACAAAATAAACGTTGGATTTACAAGTCATTTAACCGCTTAAGTCGTGACTCCTTGGATTAGTTTTAACATGCTCAGTCTATATTTAGAACGCAGACTCATTGTCTGCATTTGTGCCTTCTTTCTAATCGTTAACTCTGACTCCAACAAATCTGAAATTATATGCTAAATAAATGATAAGACTGTAGGGATGTCGATAAACTTCGCTTAACTACCTTGTAGTGTTACTTATAATTTAGGTCATTTTGTATGTGCTAGATGAAAGTAGAGGCAATAAGGCTAGGTGACTGAAAAATCGTTGTCCAGACGAAGTTAAGTCATTTAAAGGATAAAGATGGGACGTTTTATAGAGCCAGTTCATCTGACAGTAAGTTTCTTACAGTAAAATCAGAACTTCTCCCAAAATTTGACACGCTCTAATCGAACTACTTCAGAATGACTCAGTTACTGTGAATTTTCATGCAGTAAGTCACTTCTCAGATAAATTGTGTTCTTCGCCCGGAAAAAAACGAGGAATAATTCACTTATCTGCAGTATTATCTAGACTCATCATAGACCAACACTGTTTCCCCACGCCTACTTTAGGATTGTCACCTGATATATATTTACTTAACACAAATAGACAGTGATCTGAAAAGGACTCACACAGACAATGTACAAATTGGTTTTTTCACTCACTAGTAACTAGTGTGACGTGTCTAGTCCTTTCCTTGGTGCAGACTGAATTCTGTCAGTCAGGTTTGCAATGCGGCCGCCATTCTAGGTAGCTCGCCATCACGGTGCACATTGATTTGATGATATTAGATAGATGGAGGCCAGCTGACTGATAGAATTCAGTCTGCAACAAGGAAAGGACTAGACACTTCACACTAGTTACTAGTGTCTAATGAAAATACCTACTGCAGTCCTACAGGAGGTCAATCGCGAGCCCGAATAGATCAGTGGCAACGTCTCTGACTGCAGCATTGGGTGACGCGGGTTTGAATCTCAGGAGGGAGATGAGTTCCTTCAAGGCTGCAGACACGCTTTGCTGACTTGTGAATGTCAACTAGCACGAAGCCTAGGTCCAAGGCTTCCTGTCGACTGCCTCCAACTATCTAATAAAGTGGTTTTTATTCCATAGCAATAAGAATTACAGATAGTAGGCTCTGCAAGATTCTAGCTCTGTCGAAATTCGTTTTTTCAAACAAGATTAAATTGCGAGAATATCTTATGACTTGACCTGCTACAGAAATCCATTCCGGTAGCCCCTAGTTTCACATTTCAAATTTCAGGCGAAAATAACTGCTGTCAAGGTAAAATTATTGACTATTTCATTCATTAAACTGCAGGCTAACCCAGTGAAACTTGACGCAGCTACCGTGAATTAATGACGAGCGGTAGCTGACAGGCCGTTTAATTTATTTCCGCACACTGAAGAAGACATCCAAGAACTGCTAACTGAATTGCCCAATTTACGACCTGGGAGTAGACAACAGTGGATTTGTCCTTGTTTGCCTTCCCTCAGAATTGACTTTTCTCTGGGGATCTGGAACGCCAAAAATAATAGATTCCTAAATAACATACTGTGAATTATCAAGGGCTTTAAGTATGTAGGAGCGCGAAACAATCAATAGTTTTCGCATCTCACCAGTGTTAATGGGGTGGCTGGAAAGGACATAGTTAAAGATTAAGCAGTGCTTAGCCACTAAAATATTAAGACACTCAGCCATCTGTGAACTTTTATCTTCAATGCAGATGTAATTTGGATTGCATTCCTGGATCTGTAGCTCAGATCACTGGCTTTACTTTGTAATTTATTATGAGGGACTATGAGAATAACTTTTCTTTCTCTGGATAGGCTCAGTCGTCGACTGACAGAAGAAATAACCTAGGAAGTAAAGCAATCCCAAGTTCGTGGGAATCAATATATTTAACCTATAAAAATTTGATATTAATCAACACGTGGGATAACACGTAGTAAAACGGGGCCAACAATATTAATATTTTTCTGAAAAAAAGCCATCTTGATAGACAGAAGCCCGTGTGAAATATCATTAACTGGTGTCAATAAGTATCATACCTAAAGAGTGGTCAGTAGCTAGAGGAAGCACTGAACTATTTCCGACTAAACCGATCAAAGTCCCATAAGGAAGACTTCGCTTAGATTATGTGCAACGAGTTTTCTCCAGTCAGGAAGCAGGTTACATTTCGGTTGACTTTTTATTTATCGTTCTGGCACACAGTCCACACCTTATGCAACAAGGAACAAGCAACTGTCTTGAATTATGTAGGAGGAAATGGTGCACAGAATCTGAAAGCTTAAACTGAATAACTTGTCCTAAGCATGAAGGTTCTACTATACATCTCAGCGTTAGTAGCAGCTGATATTAATATCGGCAGAATTACTGACTTGCCATTGCAATCACTATGCAGCCAAACTTTCGTTGAGTATCATTGCCCGAGCTGTGAACAGTGGCAGGTAATTTTCACTGAACGTTTATTTGACAGAGTATAGCCACATAGGATGAGGATGATGGTTCAGGGGCTAGGCAGAGGAGAGGACTGTCATCTTTGAGGAGCCTGGTGATTGAGGTTATGAGGACTGAGAGTATTTTCATGTCACTCCCAACAGCCGGTGATCTATTTCAAAGAAGTTAACACTCACTCAGTGAGCAGGTCAAAATATCAGTCTAGCGATGTTCGATAGCGACCAAGTTGTTATGATTTCTAAGGTCCACGTGTTTTAGACCTATTTAAAAACCGGTTTGCTTGGAGATGGCGAAGTAGCAACCTTGTGACGCCTGGATCTAAGACTGAGCTATTTTCGGTAGCTTTTGGTCGCCTGTTTTGAAACTTAAGTCAAGATTACTGTCGCCAACTCAGATCCACTTCAGTTTCTCCGCGTCAAAATTTGGTCAGCCGATAGCACCACATCGTGCACCTTCACTTAATTGATGGCGGCTACCATTTACTATGTCATTTAATCCATTAGCGTGGAGTCAGTAAACGTCTAAGCCCTCATCATGAAAAATACGTTACTGGTGGTGAGTCAGTTGTAAATATTGTTATTCATTTGTGGCAGTATTAATGGTCCAGCGGTTCTGCCCTGTGAGAGCCCATTCATGATCCGCCTAAAGCGAGACATCACAGATGTCACTTTGTTTACTTATATGTAATCATCCACAAATGACTGATCGGTTCAATAAAGGGTCACGAACTCCAAAACGTGCAACTTCTAGAGAAGTACGTTGTATGATACCATGGCAAATGCCTTTAATATGGCGAAGTGAGGAACAATGACTAGTTTGCGTGTCTCGCGACTATAAATAATTCGGCCGAAAAAGTCGAAGTGATAGGCAGCACAGGCCCTTAAGAAATCTGTAGCAGTGTATTCCTAAGGTAGGTAGTCAAACAGTTCGTTTTTGCCGGTCTTTTTCATGACTCGTGAGGTAAATGTGATTATGTCTACGTGCCTATGGTTGCAAACTTATGGATTTTCAGCAAATCGGTGGTGTGAAGTTATATAGCCAGTTTGCTACTCAGTTAGACGGTCTCAGGTCTCGTTCTTAGGTATAAGCTTGAAATAGGGTGCATCCACAGATTGTTGGCGGAAAATGTCAAAGACTAGCTTTTCGATGTGATGTACCGAATAACTCCATATTCCACTTATTTGAGGGCTTCTGGATTCATCCCAGAAAAGGCATACTCACCAAGGTATATAAAAAATTTGCCACCGAGTGCATGAAGAGTTTCCTATTTCTTTTACTTTTTGAATGGAACATAGGGCTTCAAGCTACGGCGGTGGTTTTACTTTCACGAGGAGAGTTTGCCAGACTGAAGCCCGGCCTTTCATCATTGATAGCCATACTACAGGCCTATTCAGGCGTAGGGATGCGTCGGTTGAGAGCCGGTGTGCATTCTGCTGCCGGACCACCGGTGTACAACCTGTAGCAGACAACTTATATCCCATTCTGCCTGCTACCGGACTTTTATCAGCACTGGATGTTTTGCTGAAGCACTCTCGTAACTAACAGCACAAGATATATTTGTCTGTTGTCCATAATTGGCTGTGGGTAACTTATTACATTACTAACAAGTTCTTGGGTGATTACGAATATTCCGAAATATTTCTACAGTTTAGTTGACAGATAAGTTTGATCATGTGAAATTCAGTGGTTGATTACTTTATTAACCAAGATTTCTATAAAAATAATTATACCAATTGTGGATAGGCAGTGCACATTATCGTGGAAGTTAGTTGTAAGATCTGAATGTTTCTTGTTGAAGGCTCAGCGGTGTTCCAGTTAAGCTAAAAACTTTATCTGACACACAGGAGGCTATCCATCAATTACAGTTCAGTAGATAAAGAGGCAGGCATCATCAATACGATAATAATGTACACATGGAGTAAGCATGTTTAAAATTTTTCACTGACACAAGATTTATATACAAAGGAAAATAATAGAACAACGACAGGAAGCACACTTTGCATAAGTTAAAACAATTTATGTGATATAATCCTTGACACCATTATTGTTTGAATTTGTCGAAAAGTGTCGAAAAGAAAATGTGACTCAAATCTGAGATCAAAAATCTTAATGCTATCTATAATGATGCACTTTTATCATGTAAATCTCCTATCAGCATATGGAAACCTTTTAATGAAATTACTGGCAATAGTAAGCGATGTACTGCCTTTCCCTCTTATGATGTTAATGCTCTTAATCGGTCTTTTATACGCTGTCCTTCTTCTATAACTACTTCTAATTTTACCAATCATGTATCTGATAACTTTCATG